ATCGTCCTACACTCGCTAGTTTGAGCTTGGCGATTTCACGGATAGTCGTGAGATCTGGGCCGACTTGAGCTGTTTCTGCCGCGTGAGGCTCGGTGGGTTCCGACTCTTCCGAGGTGTGGTTGGCTACCGGCGCCGTAGGGTTAGTGTTGAAGAGATGATGTCGGAACGGTTGAGAGTTACTCGTCTGCCCAGCGGGAGCTGCTGTTAACGCTGCGACAAGCGCGGCGAGTTGCGCTTGAGTCTCCTTTTGGATCTCGTCTTGTCTGGCAAAACGCGCCATAACGGAGCTCATGAAGTCGGGCGGAAGGGGTGTTTCGGGTACGAGAGTCTGAGTCAGCTCCTCCCCGACGGTTCCGGAGACGGTTCCGTCGTCTGGCATGTCTAGATCTGATAACGTTGCTTTGTTCAGAGTCCCACGGTGGGCGCCAAATTGTTTGAGGTGAAAACAGTTTAAGAACAATATAAAGAGTGAGATGGGGCGAACAAATATGTTCTTTTATTAGATCTGAACAAGTGGTTACAAGGAGGTAAGTAAAGAGGCGAACTAGCCGGAGCTCGGAGAGCAGACCGGAGGGATACAAAGTGGTGAGTATCGGTGAACGTAAGGAAACCTTAGATCTAACCACCTAGTATCTATGAAACCCTAGATCTAGCCGCCTAGTATGTGTGTCGAAATGTCGATCCCCTTTCTCATTGTTGCCTCTCTCCTTTTATAAACTTTATCTTCATGTTCGTCCTAGTTTATCCGAGCCTTGTTGGGCTTTATTCTCGTTGGGCATGTTTAGTAGCCCGGGTAAAGCGTGCTTCTGCTGACTCCTCTGGAGCGCTCTTAGCCGATCTACTAGAGACGGCTTAAGCCGAACCGTTTCTTAATCGTCTAATGGGCCGAGTACATCGTCGTATCGGACTAAGCTTTTCCATTTCATGGGCCTTGTGGAGGGATACAACCCATCTCCTACAGTATATCATGTCACATATGTTTATACGGTTAGTTAGTAAATTACAATTTTTTGTTATACTTTCGAGTTTTACTATAGTTAATCGTTTAAATGTATTAATGAGAAAATGGTTAATGATATTTTTATATAGATTCACCAAATACTATTTATTTTTAAATCAAATGGTAAAAATACCTCTAGAAGAAATCAAGACCTCTGCTATATTCTTGAAAAAAAAAATCTCAATAGATGATACTCTCCAAAAGAGTTTGCTCTCTAAACCAGAAATAATTTGAATCTTGGTGTTTAAATTCATTCTATCTATATACTGGATGTATACTGGTTTTAAGCTGTCAGCATTATCGTTATTTTCATCAATGTGTCTGCAGAAATCAAACCAAAATACACTTTGTTATGGCTGCCGGTTTGCATATCATTTTTATCCAGATTTAAAAGTTAAACACATTTGGACTGATAGTTAGAGCATCTCTAATGGGAGATTATAGATTCCGACTTCTCAAAGTACATATATGTCTATACTTATATTATTATCTAAATATAAGATTCTTAATTTTACGGAAAAATTTAACCCAAAATACCTATTTAGGATATTTTGGATTAAGTTTCCTATAAAATTAAGAATCTCATAATTATATATTTTTATTAATATATACATATACATATACATATGTATTTTGAGAATCTCAGAGTTAGAATCTTCATTAGGAATGCTCTTATAGTATATAACCATACCATCAAAAGACTCTGAATACTTTTTTTTTTTACTTTACAGACCAATTCACTCTCTTGTGCTTTGAGACTTTGGAATGCAAATGAAACAGCCTTCAAATATCTACCAAATGAGTTGTGTTTAGGGAAATTGGATGAAATAACACAAAAAAAAAATTCATTATCTAACTAAAAACACATTCTCTCTCTTCTTTTTTCCTTTCTATCTCTTTCTAATTTCTCACTAAAAACTCAATAACCTTTTTTTGGTTATTTCACCAAAAAAAAACCCATGTTTTTAGTCATCATCATGTAAAGCTTAAGGTATGTATGTCCAAATCACGTTATTGTTGTACGATGCATGGGAAGACTAATACTTTACATGAAGATGAACAAAACAATGTGTGCGATGTGTCTCAAAACATTTTTGATCCCACATCCACTCATAGTTCACATGTAGATTTATGTAAAAATGCATAAAACCAAATAAATAAAGATCGGTTGAGACTTACTTTTTGTTCCAAAAAAAAAAAAAAATTGGTTGAGACAGAACAAAACTAAATTGAATGTAAATTTCATGTGTGGGCCGTGTGGCAATGTCTCTCCATTTATGTTTTGGCGTGGCCCATGCTTTAACTAATTTTGACCATCAATTCCAAATTGCTTTACACTCTTTGCACATTATCCAGCTTTTTATAGTTCTGTCCCTTAATTAGGGTCCCAGTTTAAACCAAACATGTCTATGGCACTATGTCGAGTGATTCTCTTTGGATTTGATTTGATTTTATTTATAAGTTATCACAAATAGTTCATCAATTTTTAGAATTATGGGTCAGCTAGCTGTTTGGTTCGAGACACTATTACTAAAATGAAAACTGCCATTAATATGGTACCTTTGTTCTGTTCAGTATCAAGAAGAAACAATCATTGTACAATGATTTAAAAAAAATCACATTTATATCATTATATTTTCTCGAAATTATCTGGTTTGTTCTGATTAATGTACTTCAACGGATTTTGATCATGTTTCAGTTTGATTAAGTTTGTGTTTAATATGTTTAGGTTTTGCTTAGGCTTTAAAAGTTCACTATTAAAGGCGTTAAGAAATCAATCTTTTGGATTCAATTGAATCAAGACGGATCTACAAATAATTCCCATCCCTACTAGGTAAGCAATGATAGAAAACAATTGAAATTCAACCATCTACAATATACATTTAGAATAAACGAAAAAGTATAGAGAATATAAAAATACTATAGGATAGCACTAACATATATATTCTTATTTCAAAAATAGCACACAAAGAGAGAGCTTTCAAAATATCATTAATTAGAAATTAATTCTTTCAATATGTAGAGAGAGCTTTCAAAATATCATTAATTAGAAATTAATTCTTTCAATATGTTCGAGTTTGGTTTAGTGATTAAGTTTTATAATTCAATTAAGAGATCAAATTAGGATAAAAATTTAGGAAATGAGATATTTTAGTCATTTTATTTTATTTAATGTCATTTTGAAGACTTTTCTTCATTTATGCTATTTTATCATAAATTGTTTGTTATCTAAATGATTTTCCCAAATACATAACCAATATGCTTTCTTTTTATAACAATAGAAGGTACATAGATAAAATCTTATTACGAATCCGCAAAGAACGAGTTTCTGGTATCAATCCAATGTGGTACCGCCGTGTTAACATATGAGAAAATACGGTTCCTTGTTCGAGCATGTCTTGCAAAGAAGTCCGCTTGGGAGTTGGTACATCTGGGATGATAGACCACTTTTCCACCATGGTATGACGCCCATAGAGTTTTAAATTCCTCCAATTTGGCTGCGAAGGCTGGCAAATCCTCCGGTTTAGTAATCATTTTAACTAACTCTTGCGAATCAATGATAAAATAATCGCAGAAGCGTATATATCTGAGTAAACATTTCAAGGCCCATACTAGACTTTTTAGCTCAGCATAAAGGGGCGATATTAGCTTATGACATCCTTGGAGACCAAGTAAATCAATTGACCTGTCTTGTAGCTATAAAACCCATCTTATTCCACTTGTAGTTTCATCATTCTTCCATGATCGTCCATCCACTCGGCAGATGAATGTGGGTAATTCCGAAGGATTTCCTGGTACTTGATCTGAGGTATTTTTGCATGTGTCTTTTTCTTCATTGGCCAATAACTAAGCATTACATTCTCGTAGCACCAAGTCTAGTGTATCTGCTGGTGAAAAAATTCGGTCATTGAATAATTTTTCATTCCGCGCTTTCCAGATATACAATATAAGCCAAGGGAATACTCGGGTTAATTCCTCCATATTACCGTCAATGTTTGCTCTTGAGAGCAAGTAATCCATGTTGGTGAACAGGTTATGTGAAGGGCAAATCTCTGGGTCTGATGGAATTGTTGAAAAAGCCCAGCATTGTCTAGTTGGAGGACATGTAAAGATTATATGATTAATTGTTTCTTCCTCATGGCCACATCTTAGACGGATCGTTGTCAATATATCTTTTGAATAGACGTTCATTAACCGCAATTGATTTTGAAAGAGCCTACCAAAGGAAGTGTCTAAACTTATTCCTAGTGTTGACTGTCCAAGCACATAACCAATATGCTATCCTTTCATTTCATCGTCGTATATATATTTTATATGCAGCGAGAATCTAAATAGATATGATAGTGTCTGAGTTAATAAGTTGGGTGTTTGATGTCCAAAGAAAAGAGAACAAAACCTAGTCATCAAAATCATCTGTTCTAAAGTGGATATAGTCTCTCCGCCACACCAAAAAACCTTTTCAAAGGCATGCAAGTCACGACAACCAAAATCACACACACACACAAAAACAAATTGATCTCTAGAAAAGTGGGAGTTTTGACATGACAACTGCATGGGTCCTTGGCTCTTATTATGCTAAACCCCAGTATACATCACTTCGTATGTTTCTTCTTCTTTTTTTTTTGGAAAATAGATACATCACTTCGTATGTTTCTTCTGTAAAATTAAAGCACACTTAGATTATGGCCACACACACACATACATAGATATATAATTAAGAAGTACATAAAATAAATATAAATACAAGATTATGATCAAGAAATCATTGAGATTCCCCTAAAACTAATGTTTTAAAAACGAGTATAATATTAAAATTCTTTCTGGTCAAATCCTTATTAGTGACCTAATAGTTAGGAGGGTCCCACACGGTTCAAACCTTGATGTATAAGTTATAACATCAAATGTAAAGAAAAAAATAAGAAGACAATTGTTCCAAACTTATGAATTGAAGAACAAAATAAATGACTCAGAGTTTAGGTCATAAGCCTCATATCATTAGAACGTCTATAAGAAGTTGTTTCCTGAAGCATTCATATCTATTGTAAATGGAGCCTAATAGTTTAATCTGCTTTCCTTCTCCACGAACCCTATATATATACAAGAATCAATAGATTCATGAATTGATTATGCATTGATTACATAACTAAATACCAGCGGCATGGATAGATACTGATGAGGTTATATAACTTTTTGAAACAAGATTTTGGCCATATGAGTTTGGAGATGATCACCACATGAAGCAGAATAGTAAAAAGCTTTTGCTACATCGAGAAACGTGATGCTGACATCACGGAATGTGTCAACCTCCAAGAAGACTAACTCAAGCATTTGCTCCATCTCATTCTCTATTCTCTTTTTTGTCTTCTCTTTCTCATCGTTTCTCAGTGTCTGCATTAAGACAATGTTAATAATATTAGAGGTATGATCTGGTGATTATATTTGAAGTAGTTGTAACATCAAATGGAACAATCGTTTTCAAATGATTATTTGCAGGCTTGGTCCACAACACATGCAAAAGAAGTCATGGACTTTTTTTTTTGTGCACAAGAAGTCATGAACTTGGACATCAGATTTACAGGATGAATTTTGGAGGATATTTTGAGGTTTATTTTCATATCAACACAAAACATATTAAAATGAATTAGTTTACTTATTGCCCAGGACTTCTGGCATTAGACCGAACAATGATTATTGGATTAATGTTTTTGTCATTTATAAGATCAACTAATTAAACTACTAACCTTTAGGTATTGGGCAATAAGATTGATTCGGTTGATGATTTCTGAGAGACGAACAAAGTGAGGATGAGAGAAGAAGTTAGTTAGGTCATTGTTCTTCATAAGAATAATCATCTTCACCAGGAGCTCTCCATGTCCTTCATCTCCACCTAATTTCCATTTCTCCAGCCAATGTCCCCACTATAAGAAAACATTGATAAATGACATACTCAACTGCAATTAAAATGAGAATGGTAAACCTTTACCATTACTTGATACTATTCTACCTATTTCGAATATTTTATTATTTTAAATGTTTTAAAAGAATCATGAAATTTCAACTATATAAGTTTAGCAAAATATTATCCGAAACTCCATTTTGCCGACAAGAGAAAAAAACAACAAGAAATCAATTTCGTTCCGAAGTTTTAATATTCAACAAGTTAGCTAATTGTTTATAATTTACTATCAAACATTATATTCATGTTTGTTTTCAAATAATTACAGTTCTGACTTATTTTTACTATCTACGTATATATTTGTTAAAATAATCATAGGTAGTAAAATATATATAAACATCTGAAGAAGAAGAAAAATAAAAGAGAAACGTACCGACTGATAGAGAAGGCTGTTAACGTCACGACCATGAGACATGTAATGATCAAAGGATATTTGTTTCAAAGTTCCGATTAAGATTCCGACAAGCCCACTGCTCGTCTGAACTGATCCTGGTTGGTCCAATCTCATACTCCTAATGTTCATATCCATCATGCATTATTATAATGTAGACAAATTAGTCAATCAACTGATACTACTAGAGCTTTCTTTTTATTTTGACTCTATTTACGTGTTACTTTTAAAATCAAGTATATAAAAATAAAACTCACACGTATATAAATCCAGCTTTTTTTTTTTTTGTAAAAGTATAAATCCAGCTTTTACTTTGTTCGTTTGTTGTATGGGAACTTTCATTCCTCATAGCATCCAGATGTTTTTTATAACGTCACCAAATCTGGTCTTTATTGGAAGATAATTGCTATATACTGATCTTAACCAGTACAAAAGATTACTTTAGGATAGAACTATACTGGCAAAAACGCCATATAAGATGAAAGTTTTGTCTTCACATCATCAGTTCTATGAAACTGACAGTTTTTTTAAATCTCAAGTTTAAAGAAAAAAAATATTAGGTCAAATAAACTTATCCTATTTTATTAATTAACTGGAGACAGCTTGGTGTTTTCTGCCGCAAAACAAACAGCTTCTGACAAAACAAAACAAATAGCAAAACCCAAACAAACAGCCGTTGTAACCTTTTTACCTCAAGTTGACAAAAAAAACCTTTTTACCTCAATGACTTAGGGTTAAACGTAAAACCAATAGGTGGACCTGAACAATAGATTTATAGATTTAAATACTACGAGCTTAAATGCAAGTTAGTAGATGGACAAATATTGATTGCGAAAGTTCTAAAGCCAAAATCCGGATAAAAAGTTAGTAAAGTTACTTAATTAAATTTAGATTGCTACAAAACTCATTATTTTATTTCAAAAAATTACAAGATACTATTATAAAATTTCATAAATTTTAGTTTTGTTCCAAAACTTGGGTGATAAAATTTAATTTTCTATAGATAGCAGATTTTATTTGCGTTAATAAGATTTATTTTAATTAGTTATAAATAAATTAGAACTTTATATCTTTTTTTTTGTTCAACTATTTTAGTTTCTTTTCATAGCAAATATTTCCTTTCGAACAAGGATTTTAATCATTTTGAGTTTATGGTGGTAGTGAAATATTTTACTATCTTTGCAAGTACCAAAACTTGTTTAGTATTATTTTTTCTTAATTTTCCCAATTTCAGTGAGCTATACATGTTTTATTAAAGCATATAAGTTAGAAAGCATAAGAGCAATTTACCTGTCAATGAAGTGATGATCAGTTCGTCGAGCATTGACAGTATAGTTACAAAATTGATCGAAGAAGCTCCTTCTTGAGTCGGAGGATTCTCCGAACGAGAAAGAAATGGCTTTAACCAATACACTTGATTTAGCCCAAACCATTCTCTCAAGTGACCTCTCTGCTTCAAAGATGGTCGCAGCCGCTAGATAATAGCACTCTAGAAGCTCGCTTCTACTCACACCCCACTCACTTAACCAATTTTCTTCATACCACCTGCGTACAAATTAATTTTTAAATTAGTTCTTATATAGAGAAATATAATAACTTAAAGATATAGTTTAACTGGAACCAAAGTTTTTTCTTTCCAGCAACTAAGGAAATATATATATGCTGATTACAGTTTGAGATATATAACTGGTTTGTTAATTTATTAACCGAATACTTAGAAAAATATTTTTAAATACAAAAAGAAAGGAATCGGTATAGTTGCTAGTACTAAGCTATGACTTTGTCATGAAAAGGTTGTGATTTTGCACATATGAAATAAAAAACACAATTTAGTTAATTTTTACTTTTTAGTACTGTAAGAAAATTAATCGTTGTTTTTATTTCGAAAATATCAAGAATTAAGTTTTATGAAACCTCCCTAAACCACTTGCATGAAAACTTCCTAAAAGTTTAGAGATGCACACTCGCAACAAAAGCCATGATTATTTGAAGAAAAAAAGTAGAGTGGAGAAGATGATATTACTTTTGGAAAGTGTCCCATTCGAGTTGATGCAAAGCTTGGCAATTGTTGTAGTCTTGTTTTGCTAATTCCAGATATTCATTATTGTTCACATATGGCATCCTACATCAATCGTCCACCAACACTATTAGTTTATCATTTAACTTTATATACATTATTATTTTTGCTAAACAGGCTTTATAATTAAAATACTTGAAATTGCAACAAAGAAAGTGTTACAAGTACCGGTAATTCTTGTTAAGCATAGATAAACACACCAACATTCATTTCCGTTCAATTAATTTGATAATTTGATTCATCCAGATTAAACTCATCTATGATTATTACCAAACTAAATGACCATAATACCCTTATGTCCACACATACATGGCCATCATCTCATGCATGCATTATAATAGTTAGTGCAATGCATTTGTCTTGCATTTACTAGACAATGCAATAAATATGAAAAAATAAAAAGTACCTATAAAGGGTCTTGCCAATCCAAACGTCGTTTTCTCCACCATACTGTTCAATATAGAATCTCGTCTCCACTCGGGGCAAGCTTGCGTACCATGGAATCTCCAACGCGAGACCAATCTAACATCCAAAATTAAAAAAACAGATATAAGCAAAAGAGCCAAACACGCTTTGTCGTTTTCCTTCTCCATCAGATGACCCCAAAAGGAATGCAGTGCGTAAGTGCAGATGTAATGTTTTTTGGAACCATTTGTAATTTGTGTGTTTATGGTCTATGTTACCTCGCCAGGTAAGTCTTTCATAATAATCCACTTATCAAGCAACTCCCCTTTCTCTTGTTTATGTTGCAGATACTTGGACGAGAATTCTTTGGCGTTTTTCAATATTTCTTCTCTTGGAAACGCTAATTGCGATGCCCGGTACAAATTGAACATACCGGTCACCGCTTGGTTTGATTGGCCCGCAAAGCAGAAAAACTCTCCTTCTTTCTCAAAAACCTTGAACACATCTAATTTTGAACCAGGTGTTAAATATTTAAAATGGTTACAAATGTTAAAATATATTATCAAAAAAGAGTATCTTCTACCCGCGGAAACTTGGTATCCATTGAGTCTTAAGAGCCTAAATGCCATGGATGTATCGTCGATATCTTGGACATGGGAACATCTAGCCCAACATATGCCTTTGTCGGTCCAATATCTGATATTTTAACATTATCATCATTAGAGTAGAGCTACTTTTGTCTACAAATGAAGTTAATATATAAAAAACGTTTTTCTAACCTGTGAACATAGTCAAGACACTCTTTAATTTCTTTTTCAAAGTATCTTGATATCCCTAACCGTTGAAGCCGATCCACAATCCATATGTGCTCGAAAAGATCCACAGGAAAGACATTGGGAACTGAAAATAGAATTAAGCAAATAATTTATTTAGTGAACAAAAAGTAGATTACCATAACATGAATGCTACTAGCAGACAAAATATATAAGTCGATAAACAATAATAGGACAAGTGGTTACTAGCTAACAAACCTCCTCCATTGAAACGTTTGACGGCATTGCGCAAATACCCAAGACACTTACTATCTCGGGTCTGCGTGAATGCGAAAGCAGTAGAGGAAGGAGAGAAGAGGAAAGATCCATCTTGACATTGGAGTTTCAATAGCTTTTCCCAGTCTAGGTCACGCATGCCCTCCAAACTATGCAACAATGTTGTTGGTATCTTGTGCATTATCTCTTTTGGTATCCTACAAAGATTTCAACGTACGCCCATATTTTATCCACATCTTAGTCAATATATACATAATGCGTATGCAAATATTTATATCGTATAACTCATTTTTGGCTTTAAGTGAAATACATTGGACCCGTATATATTAATACTTTCAAATATGTTTATATATAAATAGAATGTTTAAATTGTATATTTTTGGCCCGACACACAAACCTTGTTAGCTTTAGCTCCTTCTTGGCGTATATATCTTTCAAGCCCGGAGAATCGTACGGTACATCTATGTTTATTCCTCGAGCTATCTCAAGTAACGAAGGAAAGGCTACTTCGAATCCAATAGGCATATGCTCATCGTCTTCTTCTTCTAGCTTTCCAATATTTTCTCTAAAAAACGTGATTCCTGAACAAGTCATTAATTAATACATAATTCAAATTAATATAAAATTAGTCATATCAAATAATAACAACGAGAATGGTACCTTTCTTTTAGCCCATATATATGTAAATTATATAAAATATGTATAAATTTATATATACACACATCTATATGTATTGAATGGCTATAGGATAAAAGATTCAAACTTTTTAAAAAGAAGATTGATGTTCTAACTCATAACTATAAAACAATGTATACTTTCTTTTTAGTCCACTATAAAAAAGGGTTTGTATTTTTGGCAGAAAGTATATTTTTTCATGTGTTTCTTTTCATGTTTTTGCAGATAAAAATAAATTACCTTTGTGGCATTGATGAGGGTAGAGATTCCATGTTGTTAGAGCAACAACGCATGCAAGTGTGTTGATGAGACGGTCATGATAAGAGAAGAGATGAGCATCACCCCAGGAACCATCGGAGAGTTGATTGCTGGCGATCCATTTCACGGCGGAGGGAAACGCCGGAGTTTTATCTCCGGCGTCGATTAAAGCAACCCAAGCAGTGTCATAAGCTGATATCGTAATTTCACCGTCACTTAAGTTGCTCAAAATGGACTTCACTCTTTTCACTGCTTCTTCGATTGCAATATCATTACTTCCAATACTTATCTAGAATTCAAATGCACAAAATTATAATCAGCGCATATAATCATAACAACTGTTGATATTATGGTTTTGGTACCTTTCAATGTAAACATACAATAACTAAACTATTTTTGATGGAATATAAAGTATAGATTCCGAGGGAAAAATGTACAAATCAAGGTAAAAGGAAGAGTGAATGTACTAATGCAGATATTTTTTGGCGATTATTATTGACAAGAAAATAATTATAACTAACAACTGCTTTTAGAGAAAAATATATAATTAAAAATATCACCTGAGGCGCATCATCTCCTTGAAGCTGTTGCCAATGTATTAGAGGTAGATCATGTTGAATTTCCTTAGACTTAGGGTATTCTGCACAGAAACCTTGAAATTTTATACAGTATGGAAAACAAAATAAAGGGGGGGGGGGGAATATACTACTTAGTGTTGAAAATTAAATTAGACCTTGAGTTCGAAGCTTTGTATAAATGGAGCTGCTTCTGGGTTTGTCTCTCCCCAAACTTAGCGGTGATTCTATCAAAAACAAAATTAAAAATATAAGACTGACAAAAGAATGAGTAATTTGCTTACAGTATAATAAATATATAAATAAAATAATCACTAATTTTTTGTCCATGGTCAAACAAACATTAAATTATTATAAGTACGAGGTCAATCCATTCGCTAATGAGTACTAGATTATCTTAACGTACTTCTGTAATAATAAATTCAAACTGAAGATATCTTATAGTTTCATTTATAAAATGTGTCCACGTACTAGCAATATACTATTATTTCACTTACGAGAAATATTGATCATAGATTTACCTTTTGGTTCTGTTTCATAATTTAAATTAATTAACTTTGCATCGAAATAGGAGAAGACGTTCGTTTATTCAGAAAGAAAATACAAGTTCAAAATCAGTAATCGAATTTTTGGGAAATGAAGAAAAAAAACAGAGAGAATTTGGAAGAGTGATTAATGATTATAAAATGCTTGGGAGGAAGAGAAAATAAAACGAAAGGAGAGAAAGATAAGAGAGACATTGATGATGATGAGATATATCTCACGCGTGGGTACTGAGAAAACATATAAACAGAGTCATCACTCTGTTTATTTGTTTTGTTCTCTAGGGAAAATCAAAAACCGAAAACAAAATTACAAAAAGAAAACAAATTATTTTTTCATCGGAAACCCAGTCAAAGAACGTATCATCATCAAACCCACTAGAGAATTTCGTTTCAAGAAATAGCAAAAGATGTAAATGAAAAACTCTGTTTTCGTGATCGTGTGTGTTTGATAAAGACAGATGGAGATAGAGGAGAGATCACGTACCTGAGATCTTAAGGACATAAGAAGAGAGAGAAGAAGTAGGAGAAGGAGAAACTGTTGTTTTGGTACTGAACAAGTTGTTACGTTGAATAGAGTTAAGAGCATAGTATTGTAGAGACATGGCTTAGAAGCCTATTGATCTTGCTCGGTTTTTATGAAAGACTTAGTGAAGAAGAGAGATTGTGAAACTAGAGAGAGAAGTATGAGAACTGGTGAGAAAGAAAAGCTTTAATGGGTTTATATAAAAGACAGAACCGACTTCCCATCAGAGATTGTGTCTGATTGTATTCTTGAGAGAGAAAGAAGAGAGAGATTGGATGCATGGAATGTGGGATCATCTTCCTTCCATAGCTATAAACTGAAGGGTACATTTGGCTTTTTCTTTTAATTCTCATTCTCTTGTATCCATCTCAAAAATTGAATTTACTTTAAACAAAAAGATATGGTACATGGCCGTTATCTTCGAAACAAAGTACACATACGGTGGCATAAAATAATTGTTGATACATGTCACATACTAGTTTTACGAAATAGGTAACAATAGTTTCTTTTGATCGGTCTTATGACAAATCATATATATATATATACATATATAAAAGATGGTCCAACATAATCTTTTTTTAGTATATATAAATGATATTTCTCTTTTAATAGAGAAGATAAATATATATATATATATATATATATACCTTCTCTATTAAAAGAGAAGTACCATTTATATATACTACAAAAAGGTTATGTATATATATATATATTTATCTTTTCTATTAAAAGAGAAATACCATTTATATAAACTACAAAAAGGTTATGTTGGACCATTTTATTAATATGACATATTTTTAGTTATTTATATTAATGAGTTAAATATATATAATTAGAGAAAATATTTTAATAATTAAAAAGATTTTAGTAATAAATTTGTTGAGAAAATATCTAATAAGATCTTACTGAGAAGTTTAAATATTTTTATAAAATATGAATTATTTAATTTCGTGATTAATATATATATAAATATATTAATTTTAATTAAAAATATTTTTTTATATTTTATACGTTAGTTATATTCTATATTATATTAAAATAAAATGTTATGTAAATAAATATAAAATATATTAAATTGGCAAAGGAAAATATTTTATTTTAAAAATTTTATTTTATTCAAATAAATAAATAAATATCACTCACTTTTAAAACATATTAAAGTTTTTAAATCATATAATATTTTTTTACAAAAAATGTTAACATATATTTTTGTAACTCAGAACAAATACAATATATAAAAAATTATATGTGGATATTTTTTATTTTAAAACTTACAACAATATATTATATAAAAATAATTAAAATGATAAGATTATACAATTTAACAATATATAACAATAGAATGTAAATCATATATATTTGAAAGGTCTTGTTATATTTTTATAAAATGAAAAAAATAGCTGTACGGATGTGCGGGTTCAAAATCTAATATACAATATTAATTTATATCTAGAATAAAGTTGAAATGATAACAGCTATATAGGATGATACTACGTGTAGTTATATTATTGCAGTATCCTTGTAAATTGTAATGTTTAAATTTTGATTTTACGAAATTATATATATATATTTGCATTCTGAATCAAAGTTATTATTATTTTTTGATAAAACAGTTATTAAAATATATGTTTGCATTCTGAATCAAAGATATTATTTTTTTTGATAAAAAAGTTATTCTAATGTAATGAAACCTTTTCTTTACATGACACGTATAGTTTTCACTTTTATTACACATGGTATTTCTTATATATAGAATACAGCTATGTACAACAAAACATAATCTTACTAATCATCAAGTTAGATTTCATAAGGTTAGTTGTCAAAATTATTCAAATAGATACCATATGCTCAGATACTATAACTGAATCCTTATTTATCTTTTTAGTTACACGCCACGTGTAATTTTTAGTTTTGTCACTTATGATCTTTTCTCATGATAAATGAAACTACAGCCTACACATAGCAGAACAAAATCATACTTATCACTTAATTAGATTTCCAAGGTTAGTAATAAACATTATTCAAACAGAGTTGGATCGTTTCTTGCTTTGTAAAACAACACGTATAGTTTTCAGTTCTGTCACATACTGAATCTTCAATGTAAATGAAAATACAGCTATGTACTCCCTCCGTTTTATATTAAGTGTCGTTGTAGAGAATTTTTTGCGTTACAAAATAAGTGTCGTTTTCGGTTTTCAATGCAAAATTTATTAATTTTATTATGTAATTTGTTTTTCTATTGGTTAAAATATGATTAGGTGTATGGGCAACTGTGTTTTTATATAGGAAATATGTAAAATTAATTGTTTTCTTAATCCGTGTGCACAGCTATAGAGTGACACTTATAATGAAACAGAGGGAGTATAACAAATCATAATCAAAATCTTACTAATCATTAAATTAAATATGAAAAGGTTATTAAATTATACTTGTTTATCATGTTTTGGTAAATTAAATGTATATGCGCAGTTTACGAAACCAATTATAATAATCACATATTGATCTACTGAATAAATGTGTTTTAAACATAACTAGGGCCGGGCCGGATTTAGATGTTTGATCTTTATTATTATTTTTTTATATTTTTTATTGATATAAAAAATATAGCTGAGGTTGTATAAATATGAACTGCTTTTAGTGTAATTTCTAATGTTTTTAGTGTGCTAACTGAATTCTGTAGTTTATATATATTTTGAAACGAAGATTAATTTTATGTACATACTAAGGGAAATAGTGAAAGAGAAACATATTTGAAAAGCTTTTGAGAAAGAATTCTAATCCCATGAAGTAACTTTTTGAATTTTGTTTTGTTTCAATAGGCTTCTAAAAAATGATTTTTTTTTTGGTATTTGGGTTAGAGGAGTTTTTTTTTTAGGAGGTCAGGTAAATAAAAATGATGACTCTTTGGTTGCTTTGTTCAAATATGTGATATTTTTAATATTAACTTGGTGGTCACGCGAGAAAATAATTGATATGTCTCAACATACGAAATTTGTCTTCAAAATAATAGACTATATATGGTGGTTTATAGTAACAGCTAAAATTGGAAATTTCATGTGTGTAAATATTGGTTTGTGGTGGTTTACGATGAGTGATATTTTTATAATAAGAAGTTCTGTTTTACTGGCTGAATATGTAAACTCACTCAAACTTAGGTCACTCTTTTGGTATGGCTGCATCGACATCGAGGGAGGAAGCTAAATATAGACTCTGGTGCTGATAGTGAAGGTTGTTTCTATTTTCTTTCGGTGTACAAATGTTGTTTCATATGTCTTCAAACCTCTTATTAGCGAACATTTATTGTTATTTCTTAGTCATTTACTTTTTCCGTACAGTAAACAATATATTTGGTTATGTCATAAGAATAATTAGGTTTTACGTATTGAAGAAAATATGCATTAGTTTTTAATTTTGTTTGTCATTAAATTGTCAATTTCTAAAACAATCATGGAAAAAAATCAATTTATTCATGTGCCTTAGTCCGCAGCTGAGCATTAAATAAAACACTAAGATTTTGCATCATCAACTGGTCTTTCCTCAAAAGAACAAAAAGTTGCTGGTTAGGACATCTTTTTTTTTTGTTCAGAACCAATCCTACGTATTGTAGAATTTTGTGAAATCCTTTTCAGGGGCTATACGGCAAATGTAAGTCATTCAAATTCTCTTAGAAAACATAATTTATATAAGATATTGCTATAGCAGATTTATATAAACATATAGGTTAAAAACATGATTTTGAATAAAGAATATAAGTTTTTTTTAATTTACTTTTCTCATTATTGGATCTGTAAGAAATTTATAGATTGACGGGTTTTACATTCGCGTAGCCCCTAGCCTGCAGGAAAAACAAAATAATAAGCTAAACTCAGGCACCATAGTTTGCCTTGTTGATCTGTTGTACACATCAGCATAGTGTGTGGTAATTATACATAGCTACTAAGACTTGATAGTGAATCATTTCTACATGCCTTTACACATGTAGCATACCTTCTAAGATCATGTAGAGACTCTTGATTTATAGGATCATGTTTGAGAACTCTTGGTATATTTCCCTTGCACTGTTATTCCTGCACCTTTTCTGTTGTATCTCTTTGAGAATGAGCGATCGAGCTCAAATCAACACTACAAGAAAACACGTCATTTACTAGGATGGGTTTTCCTCGTTATTTCCTAGTAACTGGCCCTTTACTAGGAAATAACGAGGAAACGTGTTTCGTCAAAAGCCATTCATCGTAAAGCCTATTTTCCTCGTAAAGGCCTAGCTAATTTACGAGGGAAGGTTTCCTCGTAAAGCCGTGGAAAACATTTCCTCGTAAGCTCCACGTATACTTTCCTCGTAAGGGCATAGTAAACCATTTCCTCGTAAACTCGTAGTAGACACTTTACGAGGAGTTTGCTAGGAAAATTTACGAGGAATTTACTTCG